TGGAGGGGACAGGGCAGCCAGTGCTAGCCCAGCAAGAGAACGATTTGGCTGGACTGCCACTGCAGAGGGAAGCACGCAGCCCAAGGAAAACAGGGAACCAACTACAGCTGAACAGAAAGGTTTTACACCAACAACATTTGAACAAAACTAAAAGAAATGTTGTGACCTTTTTTGCTGTTCTGCCTCCTCACGACCTTCCTGACACACTCTAGAAACAACACATGTATGGTCCAAGACTCCTTAGCCCTCTTTGTACCAGAAGGTTCCTGGCCTGGTTACCCGGCCAGTCATCTGATCCTTTCTGCAATACTGCCCTTTGCCACTGTTCCCTGTAAGCTATGCTAGGAGAGATTCAGGTGCCACCCAGCTCATTAGCAAAGCACTCACAGCTGCCAGCAGCCAACAGCATGTGTTTCTACTGGTGGTGCACATCTGCATGTGCGTTGGTGCACATAACATTTATTCTGCACATCGATGGAAAAATTAGAGGGAACATCGGTGATAATGCTCAGTTGTAGCTCCCCAGAATCTGATTATCATTTCAGCTAACAGTTCCCATTCCACAGAACTAGTGGTAATGGTTTAATAATGTGAGAGAGAGGAAGTCATCACACCAAAAGGGCCAATTCTTAGTCCCATTAAAGTCAATGGTAAAACTGGGGTTAGGGTTTGACCCTAGGCATCAAAAGTGAGAGGGTAATTCTTCCCCTATGTGTCTTATTGTGCATCTAACACTAGTTTCTTAGCATTTTCACATGAAATAGCTGATGCTTTGCAGGAGAAACAGGAAGCACATTCAGAAACATCACGCCTAGCGCTGGCTGGGAAATTTTCAACAGGTTTTTTCTCCAAAAAATGTCATCGCTTCCAAACTGAAACTGTTCACAAAACAGCATCAGGTTCGATGAAACACCCAGCGTGAAACAGTTTGGGGAGAAAGATTCTCAAGCTGGCAAGCTTCCATTTTTTCAGTCAAAAGGACTCTATTTCAAAATTTGAGGGCATTTTCACTAAAGAAGAAAAGTAAAAAAAGGGGAGGAAGGTGGAAATAAAAATGAAACGTTTCAGCTTAATAGAAATGTTTTCTTTCAATAACTCTGAACAAAAAAAAGAGGTTTGTAGCTTCCCAAATTGAAATGGGGAAACATGATTGAAAATTGTAATGGAATAGGAATACCATTTCCTGCCCAGCCCTCATTGTGATCCACTGCCAAAAACTTGGAAAACAAAAAACAAAAATCTATTGCTCATTAGCAGGACTTTATTCTTCTGGCAACACACTTTGAGGACACAAGAGATGATATAACTTCAAAATATTATTAGCATGATTCTACAGTAAGGCCTTTAGAATGGAAATTCATTGGCAACCTTAGCTATGGCTATCAAATGCTATAATTAAAATGGTCTAGTGGCATATTTATGCTGCACCTTCGGGGGAGGGAAATACACCTACATAGGGATACAAACCTGTGGCTGGTCCACATCAGCTGACTTGGGCTCACAGAACACGGACTCCAGGGCTGAAAAATTGCTGGCTAGAGTTGAGGAGGAGTCCTGTGGCACTTTGTAGACTAAGATTTATTTGGGCATAAGCTTTCATGGGTAAAAAACACTTTGTCAGTTGCATCTGACAAAATGTTTTTTCCTCACAAAAGCTTATACTCAAATAAATCTTCATCTAGGTGGCGGCACAGGACTCCTCGTTGTTTTTGCAGAGGCAGACTAACATGGCTACCCTTCTGATGCTTGTCTAGAGATAGCCAGGTTCAGACTAGAGTCCAGCCTCTGGGACCATGCAGTTGGTATTTTCTCCCTACGTACACATGCTCTAAACCTGGGAATCCAACTCAATTTTAAACCCAGACCCCATTTTATGCTCATGCAAATCAGTCTCACTTGGGTCATTAAGCACTCCGATCCTGAGTCCTAAAACCCTGCGAGGCAGGTGGGTTCAAGCCTTGTCGTGTTTCAGTGCGGACACAATGTGAACACAATGGCGTGGCTATCAGACTGAAGTCTAGCAAATGTGCACCCAGGTTTACAATGCAATGTGGATGCTCAGGCATGGGCTTGAGAACACTGAATCCACAAACCCAGGTCCACAGAGGTAGGCTCTGAATACAGTGTAGACATACCCACAAAGACTGGCTGAGGGTCTGTCCACACAGAACTAAACAGTGTCTTGGAGCCTGAAGCAGCTGACTTGCTCTGGCAAAGCTCAGGCTGCAGCGCTGTAAATTTGCAGTCTAGGCGTTCAGGTTCAACCATTCTTGCAAGGCCTCCAGCCCAAGCCTGAACGTCTATAATGCAATTTTATAGCCCCATAGTCCAAGCCCCATGAGCCAGAGTTAGCTGACCTGGGCCAGCCACTGTCATGCTGCAGATCTCGTCTCACAGTGTAGGCTTGCCCACTGAGACATTGCTGTCCATTATCAGTGGACCAAAAAACTATGGATCAACTCTTACTCCATCAGTCAGTGCTGTAGCAACTATGCACTTAGCTCATAGGAAGTGGGGGAGTTTTATGCCACACAGCCTGGTGAACCACTGGCTCACTGAGGAGTAATACTGGGAGCAACAGACAGCAATCCTAGAAGGACAACTCCTGCAGTGAGGAAATTTGAGGAAAGATATTAAAGTGATGGGGAGAAAGATCAAATAGTCCTCTCAGCATCAAACAAGGCATGGAACCCTGTTCTCTTCCTCCCACCTCTCCCAAGCCCTTCCCCCGCAAGCCCTTGAATCTAGAGAAATGTAGGGATATAAGTAAGATTTGCTCCTTGTTTGGAATAATCCAACACTGAAGAGTTTCTTGTGAGAGTAGCCTAGGAAATCATTTTGTCCCTTTGCTGATTCATATTTTTCAGAACAGCAAGGGGAGGAAAAATCCAGCCTTTATCCAGTCCTACATCTTTAGAGTCAAACTTTTCACTGATGTCACGAGGATCCCAGACAATGCCTTCATCGCAAAACCAGCCTGACCCAATTAATAAGTCCCAAGCCTGATAACAATACACTATCATAGTATGATAAAAAGTTTGGGCATGTATACATGAGTTCTGATTGTATTCCTTCTCTCTTTTTAAATGAATATATAATTAAGTAGTGGAGAAAGTGAATCCATATACTTTTAGGAAGTCCATAGGCTTTTGCAGCATCTTCAAAATGACTTCAGCTCCTAAGCACTCTGAACATACAAATAAATAATAGACACTAGCAGGTCAAGTTGTGTAAGAAAAGGTGCATCAAATAAATGACCCTGGATGATTTCCAGTGCTATCAGCTTGGTTTTTATTCCTTGTATTAAAGAGCTTCTCATCTCACCAACACTGTAATGAGCTGTTCTAGAGATCATGAACTACAAAGTCTAGGAAACTATAAGAACCATGGCTCAGAATTTCCTTAATTCCCTAGCTTTTTGCCTTAAGGCTAATATTAGTTTGCATCATTTCATTTATACATGAAAACACAGATGGATGCAGACCCCCCCCCAGCTCCCTGCCCAGACACCAACATTCATTTAGTCTAGCCTGGAAGTTGCTCCAATTTGCAGAGTAAGAAAAAAAGGAAACCAAGCATTGCCTGTTTTTAATCGGGCGATAAGAAGTAAAAGGATTATTGTGAAGCTATTCTTATTTGAAATACTATAAACTGACTCATTACCATAAAGCCTGCTGGCAAATTACTTTTCTTTGTAAGTTGTTTCTTTTTGGCAAGACTAACATTTTCTAACTCCAAAGACTTTAATATTGACAGGTCTCCCGCAATGATATCTAAAGAGGAAAGAAAACTCTCTATTCTATCCAGAATACTGGGGGGTGGGGAATGACCCAAGAAGTGGGTCATTCCATTCTACATATAGGAATGAAGATGCCTTTGGAATTCCATTTCCACCTTGGTCAATAACAGCCGGAGTAAGTTGGTCTTTAGAAGGTCAAACTTTTCTCCTTGACTTTAAGAAGATGAGCAGGGCTGGCTAGCGGTGATGTACAACTCATAGGGAGGGGTATAGACAGCGTCCTCTATTTTTGTTATAGTCATGTTGTGGCTGGATTTTTTGTTCTGGCCTGAGAGTAACTGCTGGGTCTGTTTATTTATACATCTATCTTTAAAAGACTGCTAAGGACATCCAGCACTGGGTGGGGAAATGCTCCTATAATACAGAATAGTAAAAACCTAAATAAATAAATAAATAAATGCAACTCACCAATCTCTCTGACATGGGCGTCTTGTCATCCTCTGGTAGATGCTGCTCCAAAGCCAGAACAATGCAGTTGGCTATGATTGTCGCTAAAATCATGTATTCAAATGGAGTAGAGCCATCAGTTAAAGAAAAATGAGCTGAGAGAAGGAGACTTTCAGCAAGAAGAAGAATCCCATGCATTCTTATTACGTTTCGGATATTGACCATTCAAGTGGTCTCTCCTGGAAACCCTTAACCAGGCTCTAACTCCTACTTCAGTTCCTTGTAGGGATGTCTTTGGGAGGTTTTTAAGAAATAAGTTCCCTTCTTTGGGAGCCAGTGATTAAAATTTAGTCCCACAGAATCCCTCTAGAAATTCAGAGCTTCTCTTATTTTTCCAAAAACAAACAGGAAGTTTTGACTTTTAAAAAGCGGGTGACAATTTGAAGTGCTCCCCCAAAAAGACAGTAAAGTTGGATCTCCTGCCCCAAATTATGCTTCAGTGATTCTCTGGCATTTACATCTAAGCATATCGGGAACTTCGATTTCAAGGTCTATGGATGAATTACTGATGGATTGTTGTGCCAGATCAAAGGGTAGAGAAAGCTCTCCCGTGCCTTATAGGGCTATATATAGCAGGGACAGTAAAGCCACTGGAATTGTATGTGTGTACAGAAGGGACAGTAAAGCCTCTGGAATAGTGTGTGTGTGTGTGTGTGTGTGTGTGTGTGTACACAGAAGGGACAGTAAAGCCACTGGAATAGCGTGTGTGTGTCCTGCCCATGAGCAAATCTTTGTCTGACTTCAGCATTGTAGGGTGGCCGGTGACATTTTCAGCACCGCGGACAGCTCCCCGGGGCCAGGGCACCGCCAGATCTAGTCTAGCTAGTCCTGCCCTGGAGCACTTAACTCCCCCAGAGCATCCTTGGCAAACACCAGCCGACTCCTCCCTGGCCTGAGCTGCAACTGCCCCGCGGAAAGTGG